CCTCCTGAAAGGTTTGAGGCAAAGTTTCCCAAATGTGTAGAAGAAAGTGTTACAGAACCATATGGTGAGTCCATATTGACAATACCCGAGGGACGTGGAATGGGTCTCTGTGACCTAAAACCTGGAGCTTTGGATATATCAGACTGATGTGAAGGATCCGAATTTGGCAAATACGAGGATTTGCCTGTTAGCATAGATTCGGGAGCTGACTGAGATGAAACAACAGATCCTCCCCAAAAGGCACGAGCAGAAGTAGGGTTGTTTTCAAACAGTGTGCCAAAGGGCCCAAATGGCAAAAGGCACTAAAATTGGGAGCATAGGCTTATTTGCTGGATGTACTAAATTCTGACAAGCACTTTGTGTACTTAAGCTTGAAGGTAGTTGGACAGAGGAGGGAGCACTGTGAAGTCTTTTCATGTGACTGACTCTGAGGACTGCAACTGATGAATTCTGCACTGGAGCTGGTTTCTTGAGAGGGGCAGCTGTGCCATGCGAGGGTGGTCTAATCGCAGGGGTTTCCATTTTAGGAGGCTGAGAGCATCCCATTGGCATCTGAGGTATAGGGTAAGTCACTGGGGCAGTAGAAGGCACTGCCACTGGGGCAGAACTGGTTGCTAAAGGAGGGACAGTCATTCTAACTTCCTAACAAGCAGTAATCCATGCGTGTGGCCATAGCCTGTCTTTGGGCTTCGTATACAGTAGATTATGGGAATTTTTACTGTTTCTCTGCAGAGTAAATTCTGAAATTGTTTTTATTTTTTCAAAATGAAATGGCCAGGGAGATGGCTCAGTAGAATAAGTGCTTCCCTGGCAAGCACAAGGACCTGAGTTCAAACCCCGGTTCTGCCAAAAAACAAAAACAAAGCAACAACAACAACAAAATTCCTTCAAAATGAAATATCTACATGTCATTTTCTCTGAGGATAATCTATTTACTATGTGTTGAAGATTTGCTGTTCCATAGAGTTATCCTTAAATTTCTTTTAGTTCTTCAGAATTCAGAATGTGCACATTTTTAAATAGCTCAGTGGATTAAAGCACCTGCAAGCAAGTACGGGGGCTGGGCATTCAATCCCTGGGCCTGTTGTGCCAGCCCTGGGTGTGCTGTGCCAGCCCCACCCCCAGGGTGTGCTGAACGTGAATGAGATTGGGTGCGGTTGCATGTACCTGTAATCCTAGCTCTTGGGACTATGAGTCTGATCTAGTAGGGAGACCCTGAACACCCTGTAAATCCTTCCCTAAAATTAAATAAAAAAAAGAATATGCACATTTTTGCTGCGCCATTCATCTTTTCTTATTCCTATTTTTTAAAAATTTATTTATTTATTTGGTACAGGGTCTTACTATGCAGCTTGGACTCATAGTGATCCTCCAGTCTCAGCCCCCCCCCCCCCCCCAGCACTGGGATTACAGGTGTATACCACCACGCCTGGTTTCAGTGGCCATGCCCGGTTTTGGTGGCTAGCTGGGCGTACCTAGGGTTCCAGGGCTGGTACAGCATGTGGTACCAGGGATCAAGCTCAGGTCCTTGTGCTTGCTAGGTAGGCACTTAGACCACTAAGATTATCTCCCCAGCCCTTTTATTTTATTTTATTTATTTATTTATTTTGGTGGAACTGGAGATTGAGCTCAGGCCCTTGTGCTTGCCAGTCAAGCACTTATTCTACTAAGCCATCTCGCCGGCCCCTTTTTATTCCTGTTTTTAAGAAAATAAGAAACTTTAAATCTCCTGAGCAGCCGTAGCCACCTGGAGTGTGTGGAGTCACTGTGCTGACTAAGTCCTCTGGGTTCTCACCTCTGCTTGAAGCAGGCAGCTTTTGTTTTGAAGTGAACTGTGTATCCTCATCCCACCAGTATTTCCTCAGAGCCACCTCAGAGCCATGCCTGGGGGCTCAGGGGGGCGGCTGCTGCAGGGCCTCACCTCTGCAGGTGTCTGCAGCACTTCCTGCGTGGTGGAGATGGTTAGTCCCCATAAATTCCTGTGCACATCTAAAATTAAATTTTAGTGTAATTTTTCATTGGCTTATTATGAGCTATTGTTCAAAATGCTTTAGGGTAGATGACACCAAATAAATGCGGAGTAGAATCAGAGTGACTGATAGTATTTAGCTCTCAGTGCCCTGAGTGAGGCTGTGGGTTTAGGTCTGCCAGTTTGTTTCTTTCCTTTCTTTTGGAACTGGGGATTGAACTCAGGCCCTTGCGCTTGTCAGGCAAGCACTTACTCTACTGAGCTATCTCCCCGGCCCCAGGTCTGCCAGTTTCTGAAAGCGCGCTGTGAAAATCTTTTATTGTGGTTGTGGAAGTGTCCATTTCTCTTATGTCTGTATTTTTGCTTCATACATTTTCAGTCTCTCCTGTTCAGTTCAGGCACACTTAGAAGTGTTCTGTCGTTTGGTCCGCTGCCCCTTCTGTCAGTATGAAATGCCTTGCTGTTTCTCCTTATGCTCTATCCTTGATGTTGATGTCACCTGAGATTGCAAATCTATCCCAGTCTTGGGAGATTTATTTGTACAGTACATGTCTTTTGTTTGTTTTGTTTTTTACTTTGATTTACTTCCAGTGTGTTTTATTTCTTGTGTTTAAAGTGTTTTTACAGGCAGCATAGAAGTAGGCCCTGTCCTTTGTGTCCATTGTGGCATTCTGTGCCCTTTAATTAGAATCTATTCCTAGTTGTCTGTGGCTGCTCACCAGTTAGTGCAGACTGAAAGACGTGTTCCTTTTTTTTTAATTTATGTATTTGGTACAGGGTCTCACTACACAATTTGGACTCAGAGTGATCCTCCTGTTTTCAGCCTCCCCGGTGCTGGGATTACAGGCATTCACCACCATGCCCAGTCTTAGTGGCCGGCTCAGTGTGCCTGGGGGTGGGGCGACATGGCATGTGGTGATGGGGATCAAACCCCAATCCCTGGGCTTGCCTAAGCAGAAAGCTGTGTCCTTTATCGGTCAGAAACAGAGGCACAGCTGCTGGCCTCCGTGTGTCTTGTAGGTCAGAACCAGATTTCAGCAGCACTGTGGTTCCAAAAGCTTTGAATTTCTGTTCCTTGGCTCGTCCAGGGTGGAGGCAGAATGGAGCATCCTGTTTCCTGGCCCGAGGCCCTGTGTCCTTGCTGCCTGGTGGGATTCTCACTTCTGAGGCCACTCAGGGTCCTGGGCTGGTGGCTCACTTTCTCCATGTTCACATCCTGCTGTACCTTGTGTCTCTCTGGCTCAGCCTGCCCTGTGAAGAGCCCGCACACTGTGGTGGCCCCGTGAGCCTCTTGAGGTCAGCTCAGAGGTAACATAGACGCCCTGGGCAAGGCCTTGGGAGCAGTGCTGGAGTCACTGTGTCAGCTCCTGAGGCCGGCACTCTAAAGGACGTCTCTTCACAATCCAGCTGACTACACACTGTCTAGACCATTCACATTTAACCTGATTACCAGTGTGGTGGGTCTGATGCTGTGTTTTGATTATTCATTCTCTGTCCATTTGTTTTTCCTTTCTGGTCTTGTTTTGTTTTTGATTATTTTAGGGTTTTTTTTATGATATCTCTGTATTATTCTTTTAAGAAGTTGTTTTAGGCATTACACTATATATAACTAATCCTTTATAGTGTGCATCATACAAGTTAATGTAAAACAGAAACATTCCAATCATATGCCTTTCCTTCCAGACTGAACTTTATGTGAAAGCTGTCACACTGGCTACATTCATGTACATTGAGGACCTCAACCTGTACTGTACTTTTTGCTTTAAAATTCCTTTAGCCTTCCTTGACAAGTCTCCTGCTGAAAGGCTATCTTAGTTGTCCTTCTTTTGAGAATGACTGCAGCTGGTCATGGCAGTGCAGCCCTGTAATCTCAGTACTTGGGAGGCGGAAGCAGGAGGATCACTTGAAAGAGTTCAAGGCCAGCCTGAACTACATAGCGAGATCCCACCTCAAACAGCAACAAATACAACAACAAAATGAAAGCAAAAACAAAAAAACGAGCACTATTTTATTTTGCCTTACTTATCCCAATATATTTTCACTGGAAATGGTGTTCCGTTGAAGGTTCTTGGTGTTTGCTGTCTTTTTCTCCTAGCACTTCTGTCTTTTGATCTTTATTGTTTTTTATGAAAAACAAAAAAAACTCCTTTGTGAGCTGTCCCCTTGTAGGCAGTGTTCCATTTTTCTTTAGCTGCTTTCCAGATTTATTTTTTTGGTAGCTTGAATATAGAAGGCATAGTTTCTAATTTGTTCTGTTTGGGGTTGACCAAGTTTCTGGAATCTAAAAGCATCTTTTACTGAGCCTGGGGAATTTTTGGCCACTGTTCCTTTGAATATTTTTTCCATAATCTCTTCCTTCCTTCCTGAGAGTCTAGTGACAGGTATGTTCAACCTTTCAGTATTTTTCACAGGTTCTTGGGACTCTATTTTTTAAAGATTTCTTTTTCTTCTTTCTATTCTTGGTTACCCAATTCCTATAGATCTAGATTCGCATTTGCTGGTATTTCACTTCTCCATCTTGCTATTACCATTTAATCAGATTTTTAATTTCAGATATTGTATTTCTGTAGGCCTAGCATATCCGTTCAGTTCATTTTTATAGTTCAGACAAAAAGAGAGCTGGGGATATAGGTGACACAGAAGTGCCTTCCTGGCAAGCATAAGGTCCTGAGTTCAAGTCCCACTACCTGCTCCCCCCAGTACAATTCCTGTCTTTTCACTCACTTCAGGTATGCTTTCCTTCTTTTCAGTTGCGTAGTTATAATGGTGATTTTGAAGCCATAGTTTTGTAAGAAGTAGCAGAGATGGGCTGTGAAGTGGGCAATGGCAGAGCCAAAGGATCTTTCCACATATGTGTAAACTTAGGAGTCAAAGAATAACATCCTCTTACTTTCCCTTTTCCTGTGTGAGAAGTGGGAGCTGCGAGCGCCTACCACTTGTCGGCATCTCACACTTGGACAGCAGGATGAGAACTGGGGGAACGGGACTTCTGTAATTACCGAGAACTTCTGTGATTGGTTCTTGTGCTCAGGTGTTAGGACCACCCCTGCCTGAGGACGCCGCAGAGGCTGACCTGCCACGGGTGGAGCACCAGCCCTGAGGACACGGTAGGTCTGGCCGCTCTTATGTAAGGCCATGTGACCGGATGAGAGTCGGTTTATGTCTTACTGAAGAAATCTGTGAGTGGAAACGTTCTGTGCTGATTGGCCTCATGAGCTCCTGACAGGGAAGGCTTTGTGTGGCTGAGAAAACCAGAAGGAGTGTTTGGCTGGGGAACACAACCCCTCTGTACAGAACTCACAGCCTCGTACAGCACAGTGATGCTGGGTGCTCTCAGAGGGAACTGAGCAGACACACTTGCGGCCTCCTCAGGAGGCGCCTGTAAGCCTGAGCCAGCGAGGCTGCCTGCAGCCTCTTTCCCATCAGAATTTTTAAGATAGGACTTCTTAGTGCTTAAAAAACAAAACAAGGGGGCCTGGCCCTAGCTCAGTCCTTTAAGTGGCTGCTTCCACAAAGCTGTCAGCCTCAGGTTGCTGGAGTTCGAACCTCACAACTCTCCCGCTGGCCAAAAGTGCCCTGAAGGCATTTGAGGAAAAAAAAAAAAAAAAAAAAAACAAAAAAACAAAAACAAAAAATTATAAAAATGTAGCAGGAAAAAAAAAATGTAGTAGGTAACAAAGGTGCCTAAGAATGCATTCTGAGCACCTAAGGAGACAGATGCTCAAGTGGAGTCCTTCAGTCAGTTTTGTGGTTGAGCTTCCTGGTGAATATTGCAATAAATCCAAATGTACAATCACACCTTTCTGGGCAATACTTTTTTTGTGTGACCTTAAACAAATCCTTCAATGTTTAATGTCTCTTTTGCTCTGTAAAACAGGACGGTAATAAAATCTCATCTTTTCACAGTGGGCTTATTGAAATCAGTCTGTTAACCTCCACAGATGACTTTGCAATTCTGGAGCATCAAAGGGAGTTTACTGTGACACGAACTCAGGTTTTGATCCCCTCTCCCTTCCAGCTCCAGGGAGAGGTCTGGATGCAGCATCGTCTGTGAGACTGCATATGAGCTCTGCACAGCCAGCTCACATAAGCTGCAGGCCATACAAGGCTTGGGCTGTTTTATCAGCCATTGTTTGCGTACAAGGAGACAGCAGGTTGTACAAGCTCCTCTGGATTGATAATGATTCCAAAGAGTGCCTTTATATCTTATTTGATTTTAAGGCATCTAACCTCACTTTCTTAGACTGCATAGCCATCAGTATTACCAGTATATACACAAGTACAATGTGAGAAAGCAGGTAAAGTAGAAATCAATTTCCAGGGAGATCTAATAAAGCCATTTAGCCCTGTCTCTCTGCTTTTTTTTTTTTAGGTGCTGCATGGCATCCTTTTGGGATCGAAGTGCTGATATCCTAGGCAAGAGGTGCTTGGGTTTGTTTCCTTCTGAACCGCCTGCTTTTTCTGAGAAAGAATTTGCAGAGAAAGCAAAGACGAAGGCCTGCAGTGGTTTCACTGGAGACTGAGCAAGTGCCCCTCCTCCCCTTTCCAGTCTGTTACTACTGTTGCAAGACGTATCTAAAGAGTAGTGATGTGGGTCTTGTTACATGAATGTGTATTTGCTGTTAATAGATTGTATATTTAAAGTTAGCCAAGATTAAAAGTGAGTAAAAAAGAGAAATATTATAAAAGGTTGTATTATTCATGCATTGAACTTTGTGTGCTATTTGTATAAACGCTTACTATTAAAGAAGATGAAAAGGCTAGGAAAAAAAGTTTCCCTTATCCTAACTATAAAAACACATTTAAAACTGGTTTCCAGGCACTGAGGCCTGTGTAGCTGCTGTCCCAGGGAGGTGTGGGTCTGCCGTTGTGATGCATGCTGATGTTCAGTCGCTGCCCTCAGCTGATCTTCCGAGAACCCTGGCAGTGGAAACCCGGAGGAGAAACTGACCTCGCTGTCCTCTGTGTGAGGAGTCTGGTGCAGGGTTCCCTGTGAAGGAGCCAGGTTGGATCAGGGATCAAGAAGTGTTGTAAGAGTGCCTTGGAGCTGCATGTGGTGCTGCTCATTAGAGAAAGCTGTATGTACAAAAGGGGCTGGGAGGCAGGCTGCCCCTAAGCTGGCAGCCACGTGGGCTGCTGCTGTTGAAGCGCCCGGTAGAAGAAGCTTAGCCTCTGTTATCCTGTACTCCACTCTGCCCATGGTAGCTTGAGGGTGACAGCAGAACCCAGGCTCCTCGTTACCTCAGACACCTAGGCCTTCCCCAAAGCTTCTCACCGAAGTGCAAAGTCATCTACCCACATTCCTCACACAGCCTTGTAGGGTGAGGTTAGACTGGTTTGGGCCTCAGATTCCTCTGGCTTTCCAGCTGTGGTCTGCATTTATCATGTTAGAGAATAATTGTGACAGGGACCAGAATCTGTACAGGATTTTTGGCCTTATCTAAATAGTATAGTGTGGTGTTTTTTCCAAAAGTCATCAAGTAGACCTTAGCCCAAAAAGCTAACTCAGCTCTTTATTGTCCTGAAGAACTTGATATTAAAATTCAGACATTGAATACTTGGGCCTCAAAAGAACAGGACATTCCAGAGGAGGCAAAATAAAACATCTGATGTGCAAGTCTGTAGAAAGTGATTCCAGTTAAATTGTTTTCAAAGCTCTGTCTAACCTTTGATGAGGTGTTTGACTAGTTTGCCACATCCAGCGTGTTGGGGAAGGAGAGACTGGTATATTGGCCTTAATAAGTTTCATATTAAAAAATCATTTTATTTTCACTTTGAGAAGTGTTACCAATAGGCTCATATGTAAAGCCACGCAGCACCGCAAGCTTATTTCAGTGATGGTTTTATGTAAAAATCAGGGGAAAGATAGTAGCTCGTTGTCTGAAGGTCTAGGATCAGTTGCCTTCTAATTCCTGCCAGAGGACTAGCTCAGTGACACAGCTCCTGCCTGGCAAGTGTAAGGTGCCGAGTTGAACTCCTGGTTAAAAAAGAAAATCCTAGGAGCCCTTGAGTACCTTTGCCTATTTAAGCATTTTGCAGGCTTTAGAATGAAGGGATAAGAAGAATCATCTTTTACGTCTGTGTGGGCACTTGAGATCCTGTCTGGTTAGACCCTTAGCTGAACAAGCAGGGAAAGAGTTTGTAAATTGGAGCTGAACCAAAATAATTGTTTTTTAAAAAAGAAGTTTATGCTTATCTTGTCTCTTTGCAAGGGTGGGATTTACTCACCTACCGATATGAAATGTGCATTTGTGCTAGTTGTGGGGGGCTCAGTGGTTTTGCTGTGTGTGTGAATGCTTGGAAAGTAATAAATAGCTCCATAGATGTGTTTAATTTAGACTTATGAAGAGACTATAAATAACATTTATACCACTGTATGGTATCTAATAAACAAGTTTGAAATAATTTGCTGTTTTCTTTTGAAACTTTGGCTCTAGGGGTGGGAGATAAGTTAATTTCCCTGTAAAGCTAGTGACAGAAGAAGCACAGTGACAAAGCTGTGTCCTGCAAGGGCAGCATGGGCAGAGCTGGTATGGACATGGGCTGAGAGGCCGGCTCTCCTGGTGGAGAAGAATCTCTTGCTTCCGGTTGGGAATCTTTGACTGTCAGCTGAAGTGGGAGCGCAGAAGCAGGGGAGAGAACATGGGACACTCAGCTTTGCCCCATTTAGTTGTGCTCTGATAGAAGCCTGGCTTACAGAAGAGACAGGGCCCAGAAATCCAGCTGACTTGAGTTTGACTCTCTGGAAGGAACTGGGGAGCCACCAGGGGACTGAAGGCTCTCTTCTCTCCTCTCCTCTCCTCTCCTCCCCTCCCCTCCCCTCCTCTTCTTCTCTTCTCTTCTCGTCTTCTCCTCTCTCTCTTCCCCCTCTTTCTCTCTTTTTCTCTCTCTCTCTCCTTTCTGTTTTATGCTGTGTTTACATTAGAAAGGAGCCCTGAACTATTTTCTACCTGTATAAAAAATTATTGTCTTGCACTGCTTTTTAAAGCGTCTTTTTTTTTTTTTAAACCTCTAATGGCTTCAAACATGAAATGACTTGAAAGTCTAATTAACACACAGCACACTTCCCGGCACCCTCCTGCGAGCCCTCACCGCAGGTCTCCACGTCAGCTCCTAGACTGAGCTTTGTGCTGCTAGGTGTTTGTGGCTGTCTGACGCGGAGTGTATATTACACATGGAGAAATTTTCTTTAAAACAAAATCCATTCAGGAAAATGGCGTTTTCCTGTTTTCAGTAAAAAGTGATTTCCTCCACTGTATAACATTAATTCTTTTATTTTTTACTTTAGTGCTGGGAAGGACTCACAGTGCCAGCCACAAATGAAGACACATGGACACTCCATGCAATCAAAGTGAGGGCTTGAGCAAAAAGCTGCAGCGCCCCCTTCGGTCTTTATTTTTATGTATATTGAGTCTCAGCCTTTAGGCTACTTTTGGTTCACAAAACAAGCTCTTATCATGTATGCCTGAGATTGTGAGAACATGCTAGTCATCTGGGAGCAAGGACACCAAAATGGGATGACCTTGAGGAATTTCAGGTGTTCCTGGTTACTCTGCTGTCGCAGTTCGGTTTTTCTATTCCTCGTCCCACATGCCCAGCATGTCATTCTGTACATCTCTATTTTAACTCCTTATCCCAACACTTTAGCATTAAATCTTTATTTTTTATTTTTTACTTGATAATTTCCTTAAGACATGAAAAAGTTTTCTGTAAAGTTCTGGGAAATATTTTGTGTGATATACACAAATCAGTGTAAGAAAGAACCAGGGAAATTAAAACAACATGCAAGTTGGCGTGTTTCCTGCCCCTACATTAAGGTGGAAAACAAGGTGCCACTGCCTCACTAGAACATCAGTGTCTCACAAAAATAGCTACTGTACTTTCTTTACCTATTTCTGTATCACAGTGTCTAGTACAGTGGTTTTTGTGTGATAGTAGCTATAAATGTAGGAACAGTGTTCACATCTTATAGACCAGGCAATAGGCTCAAAAAATTTGAAGAGCCATGCATAGTACCACATGGCTATAATCCCTGCACTTGAGAGGCTGAGGCTGAGGCAGGACGACTGGCAGTTTGAGGCCAGCCTGGACTACAAAGCAAGTTTCAGGCTGGCCTGGCCTGAACTACATAGCCAGGCCTTGTCAGAAAAAAGTTTGATATTTAGTGAATGAAAAATTTATGAGTGTTGACATGGTTATGATTATTGAGATCTGGAATTTGTTTTAGAAGTAAAACATGTTTAAGTAATAAAACTCTGAGAGTTTAGACTCAAGAGCTGTGGGCACCCTTACTTCCACAGGAGCAGCCCAAGAGTTTTCCCAACCCTTGCGCATGGCCCGTTTGGATCCTGCTGATCCCTGTTGCCCTCGTGGTGATGGGAGCAGCTACGCTGGCAGGCTGCAGCCCGGGGCCTCGCTTGGACTGAAGGAGTGACCAGAAGTGGGGTTCTGTGAATGGATGTGGGCCACGTACAACCTAGCCAGGGGCCATCGCCTTCGGAGCCATGGAGCAGAGAACGGTGCCGGAGGAGCCACCAGCCAGGGGCCACTTGCAAGCTGCAGGTGCTGCATGCCATCTTGAGCTGCGGTTGACTGCCGAGCTGTCCGCCAGGATAGTTGTGCGGTTCATGTTTTCACCAACAGTGCAAGTTGACCTTACATGAGACATTAATAAAGTTTGATTTGGTCAATCTGATGGGAGAAGAGGAACTTGGTCTAACTTATGTTTGCTTGGCTACTGTTAAGGTTACACATATGTTCAGTTTCTTTTTATGTATTTATTGACTACTTGAATTTTTGTGTGAAAAAATGATATTAATGGACTTCAAAAAGGATAAAATAGATTTTAGCTCAAGTATTGAGCATTTTCCTCTCTACATTTTTCCTATTTTTTTTTTTCAGGTATGTCTCAATATGTAGCCCAGGCTGGCCTTGAACTTACAGTGTAGCCCAGGCTGGCCTCAAACTTGAGGCATCCTTCCCAAGTGCTGGAATTACAGGCATGCACACCTGACTCAGTATATTGATTTAGGGAAAAAAAATCACTAAAGGCAACTGTAAAAGCACTCTAGAAAAGGAGAAATGTATTGCCAGTATGGAAACAGAAGACTTTAAAAACACATTTGCTATAAATTTACCCAGTGTGACTGTATTAATTCAATCCTGAGTGGGAATGGGCATCTAAACCTCCAACTGAAAGATACTGTGAAAGGTGTTTCCAAAGAAGTTGAAGTGTTGATTATGTGCAGAACGGGTAACGAACCTGCCACAAAGAACATAGCTGCAGAATAAATAAATTTTATTGGTAGAAAATGTTTGTTTGTGTCCATTGAATAGATATTTCAAGAAAGAAGCCATTTTAATATAGCCAGTGATCCGGGGAAGCCTCTGCCTGTGTGTGTATGTATACATGCATGTGTGGTGCTGGAGATGGAGACCAGGGCCTTGCCCATACCCAGCAAGTGCTCTACCACTGAGCTACATCCCAGCCAAAACCCACTTTCTTGGTATGGATATGGAGGACAAATTTTACAGAGTATTATACTAAAAAAAAATTTTTTTTAGAGCACAACTAATAGAATTCTGAAAACTTACTGAATTGGGTGGTAGTTACATAGTGGGTTCTCCGGGTTTGCTTGCATTCCAGCCTATTGTCCAAGAAACTGCTAAAGAGGACAAATTGTATCTTTGGAGAAGCAGAGAGATCTGCTCTAACATTCCTGGCAAGAAGATGAAAGTGCCAGGGCCAGTTACTCTTTTCTTTGGGAAGCACGGGTGCCCCTTGTTCTTCTCTCCCAGTGTAAGTTCGTTCTGAGTGAAGATTGTAAATCGAGCTATCCCTGGCATGCAAATTGATTTGGAAGCAGCTGGAGTTGGACATCAGAGGTGGAAGGCTGGCTTCTTGCTGGAGTCTGTTGCGTGCACACACCACTAAGTCCTAGGAATGAAGGGCAGACCACGTGCGCAGATCCTACACACACAAGGTGACCGAGAACAAAGGTGAACTCCAGGCCTTTATAGGTGAATAGGTGCAACTAGAGACCATACTCATAAGTGAAATAAATCAGACCAGCATGTGTAAGCATTGCATTGTCACCCTAGTGTAAGAAAGAGAGTACAGAAGATCCCAAAGGTACAAGAAGCATTATGAAAGGGAAATAAGCTGCTCAAAAGGAAAGAATAACTAGGATGGGTGAAAGAAGAAAAGAAAGAAGAGGGAGGAAAAGTATATATGTAAGTATATGATAGCTAAAATAATTTTACTACTAATTTCTATTGATTTGTGGAACAGTTAATTCTTAATTTTTGATCAATTTTGCATGCCTATATTTGATAATCTGAACAACTACTCTGAAGATAACAATATGCAATATACCAACCATTGTTAATTTCCTATCATCTTGTTTTGAAATTCCATATAGTTTTTATTGTTTCTTCTCTTTTTTAAAAATTCTCTTTAAAGTAAAAAAATAAAAGGTAACCAAGAACATGGAGAGATGCTCTAGTGTGGTCATGTTAAGGATGGAAATAAGGCCAGGAGGGAAAGAGGGGTGACCTGTACATTCCGGTGGGGTGGCATCTTGGGGATATCCTGGGGACTTTGGGAGCATTTCTGAGCTGTGCAAGGACATGGCCAAATAGGAAGTGCTCCTGGGAGTGAGGATTGGAGGACAGAGTGCAGTGGGGTGAGAGTGGGAGAGGCCTCCGTGTGTATCCACCTGCGACAGCTGTCACTGTGGCTGTCCTTCTCCTGCACAGGCCAGAGAGAAGCAGCTGCCCAGCCTTCGCCTGC